CACCCTGCTGCGGAAGGCACACCCTGCTGCTGCGCTGGGCTAGGATAATGGACCGATCAGCTCCACACTCTGACTTCCGTGCCGACCGCGCCATCTCCGGGGTTCCACCGAAACCCCTCCAAACGAGGCTGCCATGCCAAAGCCGGAGCGCATCCGTCTTATCTCGCCAGCGGCACAGCAGCGTCAACGCCTCCGCTATGCGGGCTGCAGCAGGCGTGGGGGCGGCGATGAGGCGGTGACAGTTGCTCGCGCCTGCGTGAGGGAGGGAAGGCAACGGCTGCACCGTATCTGCAATCGCTCCGAAGCCAGTCTCCTCTTCTGCATGCGCCGTCACGACGTGCATGCCTGTTTCAAAACCTTTGTAAACGCTGCAGGCCGTCAATCTCGCAGACAAGAGAACCAGAGACGATGTGCATTACCGACAGACTACCAGAGACATGAAGCGAAGCGAAGGCTAAAGATACAACCGAAACAGAAACAAAGACAAAGCGGATAGCGTGCGTGCGGCTCACACACCGGTCCTGGTGAGCATCTTGCGCTGGTTGGTGAAGCGGATCACGTCGCGCTTTTCGAGGATGAAGAGCGTGCGCTCGAGCGCGTGGTTGGTGTAGCCCTGGCTCTCGACAAACTCGTGGCGCAGCTTGCCGTAGCTCGTGCTCCATCCGATGGGCAGCCTTCGGCGGATCTCGCGTTCGAGCTTCTGGCACTCTTCGGCGAGCTCGCCTCGCGTCATGCCCTCCACGTTGCCCGCCTGCACCGCGTCCATGGTCGAGGAGCGGAAGAGACGCATGGCCTCGTCGACGTGCTCCTCGCCCACCGTCGGCGACAGCGTCACCTTGGCGAGCGACTCCGAGATACGCACGATCGCCTCGAGCTGACGCACGGTGATCGGGATCGAGGAGCGCTCGTCGTTGTCGCGCTCCACCTGCGCCACCTGCTTTCGCAGCGCCACGAAGTGCGACGACAGCTTCTCCGCCGCCTCGGGCGACAGACGCGGCGCACACCGCGATTTGCAGAACGAAATGTAGCGCTTCATCTGCTCAATGTCGAACTCGCCCGTCGCCGTCGTGTCGTTGGCGCGATTCATGTGGATGTTCATCACGTGCTTGGCCATGGTGCGGTCGCGCTGCTCGTTGTGCTCGTCCCTGACGATGAAGATCATGTCAAATCGAGACAGCACCGTGGTCTGAAAGTCGATGTTCTCGCCGGGCGACTTCATGTCGTCGTATCGTCCAAAGATCGGGTTGGCCGCCGCAAGCACCGAGGTTCGCGTGTTGAGGATGGTGGTGATGCCCGCCTTGGCGATCGAGATGGTCTGCTGCTCCATCGACTCGTGGATCGCCACGCGGTCCTCGTCACGCATCTTGTCAAACTCGTCGATGCACACCACTCCGCCGTCGGCCAGCACCATCGCTCCGCCTTCGAGGTAAAACTCGCGCGACTGCGGATCCCGCTGCACCGAGGCGGTCAAACCGGCGGCGGACGAACCCTTGCCCGAAGTGTACACGGCGATGGGCGACACCTTTTCGACAAACTTGAGCAGCTGCGACTTGGCTGTACCGGGATCACCGAGCATGAGCACATTGATATCGCCACGCAGTCGCATCCCGTCTGGCAGCACCTTTTTGGAGCCGCCGAAGAGGAGACAGGCGATGGCCTTCTTGATGTCTTGGTTGCCAAAGATACTTGGCGCGATGCTCGCCGAAAACTTTTCGTACAGCTCTGGGGACCTCGAGAGACGCGCAAACTCCTCCTCCTCCTCGGCAGAGAAGATGCGCGCCATACCGCGACCACCGGCGCCTTCGGCGTCAATCTCTAGACCGACCACGCGGAGGTATGGTGTGCGCAGTGCGATGGCACCGGCCTTGGAGCCCTTGCCGCCCTTGGCGCTTGTAAAGGTGGAATAGATGCCCGTGGCGATGATGCGCGAGCCGGGCACCACACGTCCACACAGCGCACGGTCGACCGACATGAGCATGTGGCGCGGCAGCTCTCCCACGGGCACCATGTCAGGCGCCTCCTGCAGCTTCACCGTCTGGTTGTCGACGAATCGGCACTTGTCGTGCAGGATGACGTACGGATCCGTGGAGCACTGGGGTGCGGTGGTGTCCATCTTGGTCGAGTCGCAGTAGCGTGGTAAGGTGAAGCCGCCGAAGCCCGAGACGACAGGAAGCGATTTGGTGGCACGGCAGTCGCGGCACATGATCTGGATGTGGGTGGCACGCGACGAGAGCGTGGTGGTGCCGATGACGATACCTGGCACACGCACGAGGTGCGAGATGCTGTCGGCATGGAGATCGCGCATGGGTGTGAGGTTGGCATGGCTGCGCAGCGTGACCTGGCAGTCGGGTGCATCGGGACGCGGCTCACCGGGCGTGATGACCGGGTACAGGATGGCGCGTGCGGCGCGCTTGACCGCCGACTCGAAGAGCGGGAGGATGTCCGAGGGCGTGTCACGCAGTGCTTGCGCGAGATCGTTGCTCCACAGCTGGATGTGCTCGAGCTGCACCTCGAGGACGTACTGCCTTGCGAGCAGGTTGGCGCGCAGACGATCGCGATAGATGTAGTCGCTGCCCGTGCGGAAGGTCTGGACAAAGTTGAACAGCGTCTGCTCGGTCTGCGCTGGAGCATCGGGAGCTCGAGACGCTTCCGACCCGGCGAGTGCCTGGGCGGAGAAGACGCGGCCAGCGTCGAAGCCCGACATGATTCTCGTGTAGTGTGAAGGTGCGGCGGATGTCGTTTGTTGCTGTGGTCTGTGGTCTTGTAGAGAGGTCTCGGTGGCAGCGGTGAGGGGCGCCTGTTATCCTGGGATTTGAGGTCTGCGAAAGTGGGACGCGGTGAAGCGAGAAGGAAGGAAGCTGCTGTGTGGGTATCTTGCTGAGGAGTGGCGATGCCGATCGAGATGGTCGTATGCAATTGAGAATGCGGAGCGAACAAGTCGAGCAACACACCTGCCTCCCCTCGATCCATGCAGAACAGAGAGCCGGTCGACTGTTGATCTGCGCATTGGCGCAGCTGCTTGCAAAATTGCCACCGCCTTCCGCGCGAGCAATTAACACGACGGACCGTTCTCAGCCTCGCGACGCGTCTTGGTAATTTACGCCACGCCCTGCTGCGCACGCGCTGCCAGCCGTAGTTGAGGCACGCGCGTTGGGCAAAGACGCGTCTGAGCTGGATGCGGCCCCTTCAGAATCGCGCGCGGATGGCCTCTCGCGCGAAACACCTTCCCCCGGCCGGACCACAGCTTCGCCCTCGCCCCTGCCACCTCGCTCTCAACGTCTCGCACCCCCTAAAGTCAAGCAAGCTAGCTTGCTCTCTTGGTTGTGAAGAAAGTTTGGTATTCGGGTGACGCGATTAATCCCTGTGATCATTGGCGGAGTGACAGTGAGGTTTGGTAAACGGATAGCCGCCTGCTGCTTTCAAAAGGGCAGCATCAGGACAAAGACGCACAGAACGAATGACGGTGACGGAAGGCTGCGATACGCAAATGTAGGGATGTGGGGCTAAATAAATGTAGCGGGTATATTGAGTTGATGGCAATCCACCATCGGACGGCACGGGATCGTCGGAAGATCACGCCTCGATCATGTGGCTCAGACGCGCAAGCAGCTCGCCCGGAAGACATCGGAGCTTCAAGCAGCGCACGTAGGCGCCCTTCTCGGCCTCGAACATGGCAGCGTAGTTCTTGGCGGCGGACTGGAACGCGGACACCTGGCGGATGACCTCGGCGATGCTCCTGAACTTGAGCACGTTCACCAGCGGCTCCAGCTGCACCGAAGGCGGAAGCGGTGCGAGGTGCGCAAATGCGCCAGGCTCGGCCGGAAGCAGCCGCATCTTGCCATCCTGGCGCGTCGTGACGGTCGCAGCCGCCGTTGGCGACGTCGGGTCGAGCAGTGTCGGCATGGCATCGCACTGCATGAGATCCGACACAAACAGACCAAAGAATGGGATGCAGCCTCGGTTCGACGCCGAGCTTCCTCCCTCGGCAACACCACTGCCACCAGCCGCGGTACCGCTGGCACTGTTGCCGCCGATGCCCGAGGCGCCGTCTGCGAGCTGCAGCATGGCGTTGCGCAGGTGGCGGAAGTTGTTGCGCGGACCCACAAAGCTGTTGAGGTCCTTCCACATGCGCATCTCGAAGTAGCCCACCCGATTCCACGTCCTGCGCAGCCGCTCCACCCAGGGCGTGCTCAGCCCAAAGATAATCTGCGCCAGCGACGCAAAGTTGGACTGCAGGTAGCACTTCCACGCGATGCGGATCAGCTTGCAGATCACCGCCGCGCGCTCGTCGATGTTCTGCGTGAGCACCACCTCGCTCGCCACCCAGTTGGATGTCAGGTTGAATCGCGCCACGATCGCCTCGACGGCGCGCTCCTCGTGCACCTCGCCGAGTCGCTGCGCCTCGAGGCGGTCGCGCACACGGTCGCGGTAGAAGGCCTCCCAATCGGTCACCTCGGAGCCAAAACGGCGCTCGCGCCACCTTGAAGATGCCAGCTCGTCCCACGTGACCGATCGCAACAGCTCCGCCTCGATCAGGCACATCTGACGAGCCACCGACTCGGACCGGTACGAAAGCAGGAAAGATCGGTGGACGGGAGGCAGAGGCGCAACACTGCGTCCTGGCGAGAGCTGCAGGCCGGCAACCATCGAGGCGCGATCGGCCGCAACTGCAGACTTGCTCGCCGCGGCGCCCGGGCCGGTGAAGTGCACCGCTGCTGGGGCAGTCTTGCCCTCGACAGGTTTGGCGGCGGAAGCAAGTGCGCCCGCAGGAGGCTGCGTGGTGGTGGCGTGGTCCTCCGCTTCCGAGGCCGATCGGCTCTCTTGAAGGTCGAGGAAGGAAGACTGTGCCTGAACCTCGGCATCGTCCATCGACGCTGACCCTGCCAACGCCGCTTCGACCTCGTCATACGAACGCTCGCAAGGATGCATAGATGCATTGGACGCCTCGTCCTCTGCGTCGGCGAGCGAGCCGCCGGTGAGCGAGGAGGACAGAGTGCGATCGGCGCGAGAGTGCGTCGACATCTGGCTCGCACGCTTGTCGAGCGAGGCTGCCTCGTCTTTGCCGTCAGCGTCGTCCGCGCGTGCGTTGCGCGCCAGCGAACGCTGCCAGAGTCTTTCGACGCGGTTCGCCTTCTGCTTCTGCCGATCCTCGTCGATGATGCCCTCGAGACGACGGAGGGCTGCCTCGACATCGCCAGGCTCCTCGTCGTCGCTCTCGATGTCGTCCAGCCGGAAACCTTTGACGAGCTCGTAGCCTTGCAACGCCTCGTCTGGATCGAGCATCTCGGATTGAACCGTGCTGATCATGGGCGGGGCCGGAGGCAGCGCCGAAGGTGATCCAAGAAGCTGGTCCGACACGTGCAGTGCACTGTCTACGCTCAAGCCACGCACATGGCCGCGACTGAACGAGCCGATGTACACTTGACGCGTTGCTGCAGGGTGTCGGAACACTGAGGATGCCATCGAGTCGAAGCTTTCGCGTCCGCCCTGCGACACTGGAGGCTCGAGGTCGCGGATGTTGTTTGCCTGTCGAAGGTCCCTGGCTCCCGGCAGCCTACGCAGAGCTTTGCGGACCGCAAAGTCGTCGTCGTCGCTGGACAAATCGATGTCATCAATCTGGACGATGCGAGGCGCACCATTGCTCATGACCGAAGCTCGCATGGATGGCCCGCGACTGAGCATACCGTGCTGCTTTCGAGACGCGCTCGAGTCGTGCTCGATGGAAGCACGACCAGCCGAGATGGAATCCTCAGACCCGCGACCGTAAGGAGCTCGTGAGACCGAGCGAAGTGTCTGTTCGCTGGTAGCGTGGTGCAGCGGCTCTTCATTCTTGGTGCTTCGCTTGACGAACGAGTCCAGCGGGCGAATAAAGGACGCGTCCAGAGCAAGCGGGTCATGAGCATCCAGAGCGGCAGGGTGCGGGGCCACCTTATCGGTGTTGTGGATGCCGAGGCCCCGGCCATCCTGCCTGCTGATAGAGGTCCTCTTTTCAGAAAGGGCAGTAAGATCGATCGAGCTTGCTGGGGTGGATCTGTTTGTCGATGCACCCGCCAAGCTGGGTGTCTCTTCTTGACCTGTGCTGTCCTCCGACATCTGACTGGCTCCGCCTTCTTCCTCGTCCTCGTTGGCCTCCTCAGTACGCGACAAGGGACGCTGACGTGGAAGCGTCGTCTGGCGCATCGCCGACGACGATTGACGTCGAGCTTGTTCGATGGCAAAGTACTGCAGAAGGCTTTCGAGGCCGCCTTTGGCAAAGAGGAGATCGTGGCACTGCTCCGCCTCGGCCTCGAGGTCGTTGGCGCTGTCCATTCCTATACCGCGATTGCCAAGGACACGCTTGAACTTGGACAGGCGGCCGACTGTGTGCACAAAAGCGCGCGACCATGCGTTGGAAGGATGCGGCATGGGTGCAGGCGACGAGCTATTGGAGCTCGCAGCGGCTCTGGGAGGAAGGAACGTTGCGGGCGCTAGAGTGTGTCTGTGCGAGACTAGGACAGACTCTGCAGCCGCCTTTCGAGCAGCGAGCGACGAGCCCGGAGAATCCATGCGGGAGGACTTGGCTGCGGGGCTCTGCTGCTGATGGTCGGATGACGGTGATCGAACGTGCGGCGCGTCGTGCGAGCCATTGTCCTCGGAAAAGTCAAGATTGACGTCCTCGGTGGTCGAGGGCACGGAGCTGGAACTGCTTAGAGCATGTTCGTCGTTGGATGCGACGCTCATGTGCTTGCCCGAACTCGACGCCGAGTCGTGCGAGGACGACGCAAAGGTGGAGAGGCTATCAGTCTTGCGACGCACAGGCGTGCTATCCGCAAGTCGACCGGCATCGTTCAAAAGGAGGCCGCCGACGCCCGACTGCGAGTAGGTCTGCTTGAGCGCTCTGACGATCTTGCGCAGACTGTTGACGATGTTCATGTCGGCTGGGCGCGATGTGATGCGCTCGTCCTTGGCCATGGCGTTCAGCCAGGCTGCGAGACGCTGACGCAAGGCGCGGTTGGGGAGGAAATCGGAATCAAAGTGATGCTGGAGCCAGTGCTTGATGACGACGTAGGTGCGGACACGGACGATACGGCGCCGAGCTTCGTCCTCTGCCGAGGTGGGATCGGAGATGGCCCACTCGAATCGAAGGATGAGAAGCTCGAGCAGGTCGAGCGGCGTCATAAAGGCGCGATAGGTGTAGAAAAAGTCGTTGCGGAGGCGCAAGTCGATTTCGGCAGTGAGCTCTGCGACGAGGCGAGACGCGGATGCGGCCAGGAGCATTGGCTTGGGTTGTGTCGACTGGGCGTTGCGTTCGGGCGTTGCGTCTTGGGCATCGCTGCTGCTGCCGAACGGAAGCTGGCTCTTGCGGTTGCGACGCTTGGTGGTGGATGCTGGGGAGGTGGTGGTGGAGGAGGGCGAGTTGAGCGAGAGGGTGGAACCGTGCTCGGTGTGGCCGAATCGATTGCACACGACAAAGGAGCCGTCGTTGGTGTCACCTTTGACGGCCCAGACGGCAAAGCGTGGATCGTCTCCGGGTGAAGCGGATGTGGGCAAAGCCTGAGCCTGGGCGAGGAAGTCCGAGGCCGGGGAGTCCTCCAGGGCAGCGCGCCGATCCAAGTTGGGCTCGGACGAGGCGAGATCTCTTTGCGGTACGAGTCTTGACCGATGCGACCTTGGCACAGAGCCAGATGCCTGCGAGGCTGATGAGGGAGACGGACGGTGGTAGCA